CCCCGTTTCCCCCCAAAAAACAAATTTTTTATTTTTTTTTGGGGGCCTAAGTGTGGGAAGCCCGGTTTTCCCCCCCCTCCCCCCCCCTAGGGGCCCTTGCTTTTTAGTTTTGGGGGGCCCGGGAAGGGTTTTTTTTGGATTTCCTGAAAAAAAAGGATTCCGGGGGTTTCCCCATGGATGGGGTGGGGGGTATTTCCCGGGAAATGTTCCAGGGGACCCCCCCCCCCCCCCCCCTCGATGTTCCATCCTCGTGAAACGTCGGTGAAAACCCGGCATACATTCGTTCGCTCTGTCCCGACGTTGTAGGGATGCGAGGCCTCTGGTCTAACGACATCGGCATGCGTTTACTTGAGTACATCCGCCCCCTCTATGGTTCATCCTCTTTAAACGTAGATAGCCTGGGCGGGCGAAAACCCGGCATATCGTTCCGTCCCGGCATTGTACGGATGGTCTAACGACTGCGGCATGCGTTTACATGAGTACCCCCCTCTTTTGTATGCAACCTCCGGTGGACTATAAAAGATACACACAAACCGTTGTGTTCTACAATCAAACCGTTGTGTTCTACAATATGCAAGAGTGACCCCAGGAAAGATGCGGCAACGTGTTGTGATCGGGGAGTGAGATGATGAGCGGGAGATCTTTTTTGATCCACGGACAACAACAGATAATCGTACGTTTGTCTCTGCTACGTAGTCCAGCGCTTTTGCTACGTTGTATTCGTGTAGAAGAATATACGGTTTTGAAGCATGCCGCAAGGCTTCTGCTACACATAAATTACATGGAAAGGGGTTGTGTTGAAGTCTTCGCATTCGCAGTGACTGCATGCAGAGCACGATGGGGCGTCTTTTTTTGTGATTTTTTTTTCTTGTTCCTATTGTGTCCGGCAACCAAACGCACAGGCGGTGGAGTTCCTGCACTCCATCAAGCTCATCCACACCGACCTGAAGCCAGAGAATGTCTTGCTCAAGTCCTGGGAGGATAGGAGTGTCACGCTCGAGTCCGGTGACGTCATCAGGGTCCCCGTGAATCCGCGTATCAAGGGTGAGTGAGGGATACAGACGATCGAGACGACCAAATCAGGAGGAATTGTATTGCGTCCCCAAAACTAAACAACTCCTACAACTGCTGTACCATTCTGGGAGTCATGTCGGATGTTTGGATGTGTTACACAGCAGTCTAGCGAAAGGTGAAACCAAACGCGAGACTTGAGAGTAAGGGAGGGGTGCCTACAGTACAGTGATGGTGATGCCACTGTTTCATCCCATACTGTCTGAGGAGGAGGACTGCTGTACCGTTGTGGGGGTGGTGCTGATCTGGCCGTTGCTGCTTGTTGTGTTTTGGTGAAAGAGCCATTCTGACGCTCTACTTGGTACCGGAATAAAATTAGCTTCCTCTCTCTCTCGCTCTAACACAGGCTGTATGCTATATTGCACAACACAACACAACCCAAACGGGTACACGTAGTCAAGGGGTATGTGCTTCATATGTAACCCAAATTATAATGATAGGAACCCAAATCATAAAGATAGGAACGTTTGCGATTAATATTGTATCCAGCTTAGGTTTTGGCACAGAGCCTGTTTTTCTGTCCTTAATTGTTGCCGGTGGCCTCCGCTCCTACAATATTTCGTCAAAACCCGCGATAGATTTTGTGACGAACTCGTGCTTCCTTCCTCCCGGGAACTTTATTTCTTGACCTTCCCGGCTTAAAAAAAAAAAAAAACAGTGATCGACTTCGGAGGGGCGACGTACGAACACGACTCGCACGCCTCCGTAGTCAACACCCGGCAGTACCGGGCACCCGAGGTGATCTTGGGGCTGCGCTGGCTCTATCCGTCGGACCTCTGGTCGGTGGGGTGTATCATCGCGGAGCTCTTTCTGGGCGACCTTCTCTTCGCAACGGTGAGAGCATTAAACGGGTGCATTAAACGGGTGTTTGTTTGCCTTGTTCAAAATACAGTACATATATTATGACTTAGCAGACCACGCGCTGGCTCGAGGGGGGGGGTCCGGGG